CGTTCTACAGCCCCATTTTGTTCTTGGGTATGGGGGCATGAAACTCAATGAAGTATACCATGATTATTAAGAAAGGTGGATACATTTCTATATTCTCCTCCCCAATCAGTTTGCACACTTTTGATGTCACTGGAAAATTAGGTTTTTACCATGATTTTAAAGTTCAAGAAGGTAGGATATACTTGAGACTTTTGGGATAGAAAGTAAATCCATACAAATTTGGTACAATCATCAATAAATAGCACAAAGTAACGATGACCATTCAAAGATAAACAGGTGATGGCCCCCAAACATCTGAATATATTAAATCAAAAGGTCTTGTAGAGGTAACATGAGAAACTGGAAGATGCAATCTATGACTTTTTCCTAATTGACAAGACTCACAAATATTAGGAAATTTATTGGAAGAAACATGTAATTTAAATGTAGACACCAAACGACGAAGAATAGGCTCGTGAGGATGAGCTAATCTCTTGTGCCATCCATGTAAGGATATACGACTACTCTGAAGAACCATGGGAGAGTGTTGGGATTTGTGAGAGGGCAGTCGATATAAGCCTTCATGTTTGTCCCCTCGAAGAAGAGTTTGTCCCTGCAATGTCTTAACAGAACATGTTTTAGGCCAAAATTCCATGAAAACATCATTATCATCTGTTAGTTTAGAGACACTGAGAAGATTTTTGGTAAGTCCAGGGACAACAAGCACATTAGGCAATTTGAGATTAGGCAAAGAAGATGAGCCAACATGAGAAATAGACAAATGGTTACCGTTTCCCACTTGGAGCTTATCATCACCCATGTATGGATCAGCAGTGTTCAGTTTGGTGATGTCTGGAGACACATGATCTGTTTCTCCAGTGTCAAAATGCCAGGAGGGATCAATGGCTGTGGATGAATTTTAAGTCAAATTTGCTTGACGTTGATGATTCCTGGGATTTGGTTTTCTGGATGGGAAATCGGTTTGGTTTCCTATTTGCCAGCAGTCAATGGCCTCATGACTTGGTTTAGTACACAGTTGGCATACAAGTCTTCTCTTCCTGTGGTCTTGATTTCGGGAGGCATTGGAGAAGTTTGACCCAGAGCCAGTGTTTGTGTTTTGCTGGCATGGATTTGAGCGGTTGATTGTAAGAGCAACAACAGCTTGTGTAGTGGTAGCAAGGCGTAGATGTTCCTGTTCAAATCTAGATTCTTCCTGTAATAGAAAACCTGCAAGATCATCAATAGTGAGATTTTCTGTCTTCATCATGAAGGCAGTGATAAAGGGTCCATAGGACGAATCAAGGCCACCAAGTATGTACCTAATTAGATCTTCATCATGAACCGGACGAAGATTTTCAGCCAAAGAGTCAGAGATTGATCTCTTCTTTTCAATATATTTATGGGTTTTGAACACTAATCCAACATATACTCAATCATAGACATAGACCCTTTTTGAAGAGTCTATAATTGATTCTTGAGCTACATTCGATTAGCCCTGGTTTGGGATTGAAATAGAGTTTCAATCATTTGTCATGCTTGATGTGAAGAAGTTGTGCGAGCGACTAGGGCATGAGCGTTATCTGACATTATGGATTTAGCCATAGAAGGACGAATCAATCTCTTTTCTTCCAGATTGTATATTCTAGGTTTGGAGCGGTGGTGGCAGGAACAGCTGCAACAACAGGTGATGTAGTCGTAGCTGGGACGACGGCAACAACAGGTACGGCAACGGTTTGAGATGGTGGTCTAGGGTTAAGAACGTAATCGTCCAGATCAAAAGCTTCAAGTGTCGAGATGATTGTTGTGCACCATAGAGGATAGTTGGACCGATCAAGTTTGACAGTAATGGAGGGTATTTGAAAATTTAGGTTGGATGTTGTGGTGGTAGCCAAGTTGAGGAGATTTGGTGAACCTAACGCCATTAAAGAGGAAGAAGATGTAGAAAGAACTAGTGTAGCTCTGATACCATATAAAGAAATGGATTGGAGTAATTGATCGTATATTCATATGTAACTGTACATCGATTTATATACAAGAGAATGTGAATTGTGGAAAAGATACTCTCCTGTATCTGCGCTATATCTATTGACTAGAAATAGTCAATACTCACGTGTATATGACTAAGTCTACCTTTATAAAGTTAGTGTTATTAGTTGGTAAGCACACATAAGTCTAATCCTCATGATTCGAATACTCCGTAGTTTCCTATAAGAAGTCATGTCTTCGGTAACGGCTAATTTTTGCAAACCTAAACTCACACTATCTTCCGATTTACTTCGTGGTTGAGTTCTCCTCCTTACACTCTCTACTGTAATCGGCTTCATTATCCTAATAACAATTGTCAGATGTCTTCTATGGACTTGGTAAGCACAAACAATGTAAAGGATGTTAGGCCCTAGACTACGCCAATACTACTATGCTACATTGATTCTAAGCCTTTATAGTTGCCTATCAGACGTTATGTCCTTGGTAAGGGATGACTTCATCAAATCTAATATCACGTTATCTTCTCACTTCCTTCTTGAACAATCTTTAATCCTCGCACCTTCTACTGTAATCGTCTTAACTTTCTAAAAGCAACAGTTAGATGTATTCTATGGACATATGACCAAACCATCGTAGTCTTCCATTCCGTAAATTTATTGATGATCGATGACACATCCATCGAATGTCATTCTTTTTATTTTTACCTCACGTGGAGCGCACGTGATTTATTTTTTTATTATTTTTTTTTGTGCGTCCTGATTTCAACGGGAATCAAACTAGGTTTTAGGACGGATTCTCTTCCGATTGGGGTTTCCGGTTCCGACGATGGCGATTCCACATCCTTACGATCCAGTATACTACAACATTCCGTCCATTCCTCCACTGGAGTATGCCGGTTATGAAGACCCCAACGCCATTAATACACTCTTCGTTTCGGGTCTACCTGACGACATCAAGGCACGTGAGATCCACAATCTCTTCCGCCGTCGACCTGGGTTTGATTATTGCCAACTCAAGTACACGGGCCGCGGCAATCAGGTCTTGTTATGAATCAATTTCGTATTAAATCGTCAAATTTTAGGCGTATGCTTTATGTATCGTGAATTTTGGAGGGTATATGTTCTTTAGTCGCCTCTTATGAACCAGCACTTCAATTTCGCACCAACGAAAACCACATTAGTGATTGAAATTCTATGTTTATAGTGAATTGAAATATAAACAGCATCTACAAGACTTGGTGAACTGCAAGAGTAAATTAAAGTAGCCTTGTTGTTGATTCGCTTATTGGAATTTAAGCAGTATGTTTGACGACTTTGCAGGTTGTTGCATTCGCAACTTTTGTAAACCATCCATCAGCAATGGCGGCTCTTCGTGATCTGAATGTGAGTAATTTCTGCCGCTTAATAGCTCTTCTTGATTGACGATCTTCGTAATTTTGATTTTATAGCTGAAACTGACATGGTTGATTAATGATTATCAGGGTGTTAAGTTCGACCCTCAAACTGGTTCCACTCTGCATATTGAACTTGCAAGATCAAACTCCAGAAGAAAGCGGAAACCAGGTATTCAGTTGTGTGGAGTATTATATAAGAATGAATAAACAATGATTGAAATATAGCAATGAGTGATGAAGTAGTTAATTTGCAGGCCCTGAAGCTTATGTTGTTATTGATAAGAGATCCATTGCTACTAAGGATGATCAAGATTCTAGTGATGATGGTATTGATCATCGATCTCCCTATAAAGAGAATCATAAGTTATAACAATAACACATCTTAAACTTCCATTGCATCTTCAGGAGATAGTGAAACTGAAGAACCATCTGAAACCGACAAGGATAATGCAGCAAGGAGGTAGACTGCATAAGTTTGCTTTGATTATTAAGCTGATTACCAATCATTGCAATTCCATACGATTACAAAAATTAAAATAAAACTCAGAATGACTCACTCCTCTTTCTTCTTATGTCAACCAACAGTGATGAGGAGACGACTGGGGATCCTGACAATACTGTAGGTGCAGAAAATGTAAGCTTCTAGCGATTGTTTAAAGTTTCAACTGCTTCTTTCTGTGTTATTGATGTGTTGCTTGATTGTGAGTTACAGGAACAGGCAGAAACTACAGTGGATGGAGCGTGTTCGACTTTGTTTATTGCAAATTTAGGTCCCAATTGCACGGAAGATGAGCTAAAACCTGTTCTTTCCCAGTAAGTATAGCCAGACATTGAGATGTTTAGTTTTGTTAATTTGCAGTTTATGGTGATGACCTGTATTGTGCATTTTGGTTATAGGTACCCTGGATTTAACACACTCAAGGTGCGTAACAGAGGTGGGATGCCTGTTGCCTTTGCGGATTATGAGGTATGCCTGTTGCCTTTTCAGTAATTTAGTGATCAATGCAAACATATGGATTGGTGATTGATTGTTGGTTGTTGGCAGGAGGTGGAGCAAGCTACTGATGTCATGAATGCCCTTCAGGGAAGCACACTACAATCGTCTGACCGTGGAGGCATGCATATAGAGTAAGTTTGTGTCTCTATATCTTTATTTTTACAGTTTGGCAAATTTTTAAAAGTAATAATAGATGGTATGTTTGATTTGATGATTCGATGCCATTATCTACAGGTATGCAAGATCAAAAATGAGAAAACGGTGAAAGGTGAAACCCTGATCTTTAAGTGAATTGGATTCTTGTGGTTGTAGGAGTTGAGAAGAAATGGTAGGTTGGCTGTATGTGTATTTAGTGTATGTATATGCATTGCAATCACCCAGGGTCTCTTAACTGTTAACATGATATAAATAATATTTTGTTTGGAGAAAACCTTTTAAGAGTACTGCTCGTGTCTTAGTCATATTTTCACAAGAGACTCAAAAGCTATGTGTAATTTCAAGATAAATTCCAGTTCGACTCGATATAACGAACAGCTTGTATGTTTTTTTTTTTTTTTTTTGTTACAAAAGGTCGATAAGAGCCCACCTAAATTTTCATATGATTGTTTAAGGATAAAAGAAAAAAGCAAAAACAAACATGTAGTTGGCTAATTTGAGGATTTCAAAGACTGTTTCCAACATTAATTCCATTAAAGAAAGCTGCTATATCTGGAGTGAACTACAAAGGAAAAATTGGAACAAAATGGCCTACTACTCATATGACAGCTCTTGTATTGTTACTACTCCCTGCCTTGAGTCAGTCACATGTGACTGGATTCCATCATCACGTCCCCCTCCAGCATTCGTAGCACCTTCCCACATATAACATTTAAAATAAACGAATACTCTCGTTACAAGTTTACCTTTTTTCTTTATGAATTATGCATATGAAGTGAGTCGGTTTGGAAGGAATTACCTGTGACATGCGAGGTCGTAAAAGAGGATCCCTTTTGATACATAGACAAGCAGCTTCCAACATGCAACAAACTTCATGTTCTGAGTAACACTTTCCTAGCCGAGGGTCAATTAACTTACGAACCGCATTATCTTCCAACAACGGACGTGCCTACCAAACATGAAACAAAACATTAAGTCACAAACAAACCCTCAAATTAACCAAAACTCTCTCTCACTCTCACCCATTCTGTGAGGCATTGTTGGCCCTTAGGCCGGTTAATATCCACTGCTTTTCGCCCAGAAACAAGCTCCAAGAGTACTACACCGAAGGAATATACATCAGCCTTTTCAGTCACCTCCCCACTTTCCGCATACTCTGGAGCTAAATATCTAATGCCAAATATACAATTTTGTTATTCACAATAGGCTAATTCCACAACTAAATGCAAATGCTTTCTGGAAGATTTCAAAAATTAGACCAAACTTGCAATCTTGAGTGAAGGATAGGACCAACTTTGTAAATTATTGTTTCACAAATCACAATATTATGAAAATAGCATAAGGGAAACAAGAAGGCTTGCTTACCCGAATGTTCCAATTACTCTTGTTGCTTCTCCTTTGTCTCCATCAGGCTGCCACCTTGCTAAACCAAAGTCCCCAACCTTACACACAAAACGGTGGATTTTACTTTAATCCATATGATATAATAGAGGAAGGGGCTGCTTTTGACATTTAGCAAAACTAGCGGGCAAATAAAGTGAAATACCAGAGGTTCAAAATCATGGGTGATGAGGATGTTGTTGGGGCGCACATCACGATGAACAATGCAACCGACTCTGCATTCTTCATGAAGATATCGCAGTCCTCTCGCAGCTCCCACAGCTATTTTTTGGCGCGCACCCCACTCTAATCGACCTTCATGACGTCCTGCTAAATTAACAATTAAACTCCCTTTAAACTTTATACTATATGTACATAAAAGTACCAAAATAAATATATAAGACTTGCCATAAAGATGAAAATCTAATGATCTGTTGCATATATATTCGTACACAAGCAACCTTCTTCCATCTTCAACACAAAATCCAATCAACATAACAACATTTCGATGTTGTGCACAGTTGAGTACTTCAACTTCTGAGCAGAATTCTTGATCACCTTGAGAGCTTGCAAGCTTGTGTTGTTTCACAGCGACTACTTGTCCATCTGGAAGAACCCCTCTGTGAACCGACCCAAATCCACCTTCTGCTAAGAAATTCGCCTGAGAAAACCCTCCGGTGGCCACCTCCAGCTCGGAATACTTGAACCACCGTGGTGGTTTTCCGACCACCGGTGCTTTGTGTAAACATATTGAGCACAAGGGTGGTGGGCCCGAAGGCATGCTTCTTGATAGAGAGATTGCTTCCCTTACACACCCACCAAGAAAGGTTTTATTTTTTGTAATTAATTTGGATTCATCCGTATACGATGAACAGCTTGAGGTGAGGATGTCAATGATTCGTGGTTGAAACCTTAAACTAGGCGAAGATGATGATGATATATGATCATCATCGGTTTCAGAGTCTGAACTTGATTCAGTGACATCTTTTTTCTCTTTTTTAGTCAAAGATTCTACGTTTTTTACAGGGGCAGAAAATGGTGAAGTGCCCGGATCGGAACTTGAGAACGATGAAGTTCCGGGTTCGGTTGTGGTAAATATCTCGGGACTACTTGTTGGAGTGACAGATGGCCCTTTAATGGGACCCACTCCCACTGATGACTTTTTGTTTATTTCTTGCTTTTCAGATGATTTTTGGGTCTCCTTTTTAGGAGATCCGGCTAAATTCAGACGAACGACTTTGGGTTGTGATTTCTTCATTATCACAACATTGCATTGTAATTCTTCCATACATGGCTTTTGTTCATGTTTCAGCTTTCTACAAGTAATACAAAAAGATAAGTGAAAGCAAAAAATTTGAAGTAATATTGTAAATATATGTTTGAAAATTGAAATATTACTTGTCCAAAACAACCCAACTAGCATGAAACTTTTTGGCTTCTGCAGCAACTACGCCACATGGGGTTCCAGAAACTACTTTTATCTTCATATTTACCTATTAGAAAAATCGGAAATTAGTTCGTGGTGATCAAGAAGATAATGAAATCACATCAATTGGTGAATCTGGGGTACTATCGAAGCTGAACAATACCTTATTTGGATCATAAACATCATGAAGCTGAAGAATCATTTGAGAGCAAGAATCAGTAATACTAATATCGACTTTCTGTTCTGGAATTGTTCCCGAATCTGACTTCCGATGAACACTAGCACAATCTCCAGAAAATCTTGGAAAACCCCACAGTTTTTTACCTATGAAAAGGGGAGTAAGATTATGATCAATAATGTGTGTAAAGATATTATAAACATGAAGAAGAGCATATATATTAAATATTACCAGAAGTTTGTGAAGGGGTGACCACAAGCAACGTAACGAAATGCCCTGGTTGAACCACGTGAGTCAAAGCCCAAATCAAAGCAGTACTCTTTTGAATTTCTTTCGATGCCTTTACAGCAACAATCACCTTCTCCAGCTTCCCCATGTTGCTTTCTCTACTCAGTGACATAAATGAAAATGCTTTTGAATATGAGATTTCTTTAAAATCTAAAATCTAACGCTTTATAAGGAAAATTAACAAGTAACCCAATTAATTCGTATTGGGGTGTGTTCGTGACGCTCTGCTCCCACCACAAAGTTTTGATTCTATCATGGAAGGAAGTACAGTACAACCAGACGAATTTTAGGTGTGATGTAACAGTGAGTGTAAGAATACCTCCAAATGACGGCCTAATTTCCCCAATAAATCTCCGTGAAAGGCGTTCTACCAATTCGATTGAATATTCCAAACCTGGAAAAGTTTAAGCTAATGAATCCAAAAGTACCATAAATGAGGAACTCTCTAGCAGGAACGTCTCCTATTCGAAGCACATGTGCAACACAAACAAACAATTACAGTGTCTGAAACTTTGGAAGGTATCAAAACGATGAAATTCAGCTGACCTAACTAGTTATTAGCCCAAATGCACCAGATCACATCAAAAATTTGTGGTTATGATCCAGAATCCGAATTCTTCTGTTCACACACTGTTACGAAAATAGTTTTACTATCAAATCAATTACCATACGACATGACAACAGAGTTCTACAATTTTTGTGCTTATACCTTTCGCTTTAATAGCGATAAGAAATGACGATTTCATCCACTGATCCACAAAACGTCCACTATTCATCAATAATCACACTCCAAATAACGCTAGCATACTTCAAAAGTCACAGGCATAACGAAAACGATACATTCATGTCGAAGTAAATTTCTGCCGTTCAAAAGTAACAAGGTAGAGAGCGCACTTAGATTTATTATTCATCGAAACAAAATACAACAGATAGTTGAAACGATGGCTCAATGCAACATACGTACAAACAACCAATAATATGATTCATCTAACCACAACAACAGTATCACATTGCTGTTTGCATATCATCTTCAAAACCAGGAAACATGAATAGAAAGAGATTTAAGAATATAAAATGATTGCGTGAGGGTTTCGTGTTGAAAATCGTAAATAGAACATCAAATACTCGAAATCAAAATTTTCAAAAAGCAAAATGTAACAAATGAATATTATCATTACCATCTGTAACGAAGATTAAATGTGATGAGACTCAAGAATCTGAAGCGAATAGTGTCATTATCTTCTTCGTAAAGCACGTACAAACACAAGCTTGCAGGTGTGAGTTATGACTGTGTGTGATAACTTGCAGAGGTTCTTTTTTACTGTTTGAGCTCGAAGGAGAAATATTTATGGCGACTGTTGGGTTTACGAAATTGCCCCCGGTTTTGGACAAATCTTCGCATCTGACCTTTTCCATTTAGGCTAATACTTAAGTTGGTTGGAGGCTTAGTTTTATCAAAATAGGTAACTTGTTTTATACGTGGAGCTCGGTACGGTTAAAACGGGTAACTTTTTAGAATGCGTCACAAGAAGTTAGGCAGGATCGTAATATGCATATGCATATGCTTGTGTCAAATCCTATAAATGTACGTAAAAATTGCTAATGTCATAATTTCTCATGAACATTCCCCTTCTCGTTAATTTCCAATATATACACAATCACAAGAAAATATAAGAAAACACTGGCAGAATACATGTGGGCCGATAATCGAGTAAATACAAGGTCTAATAATATAATAATACATTAGCGTTCCCACAGTTTGAACACGAAGGTCTGTCTCAAACGTTTAGATTGGACCGAAAGTAAAAAGAAGCCGAATACATGTGGGCCGATAATCAAATAAATACAATACCTAACAATACGAGGGTTGCAAAAACTTAAAGTTTGTCAACAAAAAAAAAAAAAAAAAAACCACCTGTCTTATTCTAAAATAATTTTTAGTAGGGGTGAACATAACTGAAAAACCGAACCATAACCAAATTAACCGATATAACTGAACCATTTTAATCAAACCATTACTAAAAAATATGGTTCAATTATAGTTTTCATCTAAAACCGAACCACTATAAACCGAACCGAACCAACAATATTAATAAATGTTTTTTTAATATAATATTATATTAAATATATTGTATGTAATTATTACGAATTGAAAATTTAAAAAGTAATTGTTTGGAATAAAATATGACAAGTAATCTTCTACCATATATATATATATATATATATATAATATATATATATATATATATATATATATATATCTATATATAATCATTTATTTTTTATAACAATGAACTTTGAGTTTTTCAATTTTTATAGAATTTTTATTTTTATTTTTGTGTAATATTAGATCATTATGGTTAACCGATATTAACCATACCCATTAACCGACTAAAGTCATTAACTAAAACCAATATTAACTGTTACCCAATGGTTATCGAAATACATTAACCAATTGTAATGGTTATGGTTCGGTTTTGACAAATAACCGAACCAAACCACCCCAAACATACCCTTAAATTTTAGGTGCTTTAAGATTTTTAGTTTTTTCTACTATTATACATGTGACCTATTATGATAAGTTTTGAAGTTACCATCAAATGAAATTCATAACAAAAACCTTTAAATTTTCAATTATTTTATGTTTTTATTTATATAAAAATACATATTTGTATGCATTTATATACAAAAATATTGTTAAATTAAACAATATTATTTACATTTCTTGTTGAATGTTATTTTTTTATATATATGTTTTCTTTTGCCTAATTTATACGGTCTAAAATTCGTTCTTCTAAGAAGCGTAAAAATGCATATTGACGTTTTTATAAAATGATGAAAACTAACATTCTTAAAAATATTTTTAAATACCGCGAACATCTTATAGGTGATTCACATAACTATTATCAACTCCTATTATCAGCTATCTCTATAACAAAGTGCAAATCAATATATTTAAAAGATAAACTAATATTATAATTACAAGACAAAATTGCACTAATATTATAATTACAAGACAAAATTGCAAAAATGGTTCCTGTGGTATGCATTTTTTCCGAAGTTTAGTCCAAACCTCGACTTTTTGGCTTCGTGGTCCTTTTGAGGTAGTTTGGTTGTAGATTTGGTCCATCGGTAAACTGAAATGACTGTAATACCCTTGAGGTATTTATTTTCTATTTTTCTTTCATTTTTTAAATCTAATACTTATTTGTTATTTAAATAATTTAAAATATAAGAAGGGCCTCATCTCTCTCTCTCTCTCTCTCTCTCTCTCTCTCTCTCTCTCTCTCTCTCTCTCTCTCTCTCTCTCTCTCTCCACCGTAAAATATGTTTCTCATGAAATCCATTTCTTCTTTCATTCCTTCACCATCTTTAATGGCTTCTCCCCCAAAAATTATGTCAACAAACACATTTGAAATCAACAAAAATCGAATAAAACCATAAAAATCTACAATGAAATCAAAAACCAAATGAACGATTGTTCCTCCTAAAAACTCTTTGACTCAAGAAAGAATTACGGATGGAACTGCATATCAACCATCATTACTCCACATGTTTGTGTTCTGTGAAGAAACTCAAAAATCCACATCCAAATCGATGATGAAGAAGGAACCGCAAGTCTGAATATGATTTCTCCCATCTCGATCTGAACTAGGTCTGAATTTGGTGGTTTGATTTAGGATTAGGGAGATTGACGCCCCTTACAACAGGTGGGTGTCGTTTGGGTATCACCTGCGTTTTCATTACTTTCATCTAGAGAAAATTATAGCTCTTGTTCTTGCATTCTGGGCATGCATCGAGTTCATGATGGTTATTAGATTATGTAATAGGCTTTCAAGACTTGTACTTGTGCTTCATTTTGTTTGTAACGCTTGGTTCAGGTATAAATCATTTCTTAAATATTTAGAATTATTGTTGGTAATCGACGAGTTGGGAAGCTCCAACTCGTCGTGTTGAGAAGGGTTGTGGTCGAGGGTTTTAATGACCAAACTCGGTGAGTCGGGGTGTCCCAACTCGACGAGTTGGCGGCTGTGAAGAAATCCCTAATTATAGGGTTTTGCACCATATTTAAAGACCATAAACCCCCTTGGCGAGCCTCCTTACCAGCCTCTCTTTGTCCAGAAAACCCTAAGTTCGTATATCCTTGCAAGTTTGAGTGTGTGAGCTTGGAAAGTTGATTTTGCATATTCTTTGAAAGGAGCTTTGAAGTTGGAAGTATGTATCTTGGAAGGAGGACCTTGGATCCATAAACTCTTCTTCAATAGCAGTCTTTTTGAGGTATAAAGTCGACATCTTGCTTTGTTGTAACGCCCGCAGATTCGGGCTAGTCAATTTAGAGACGATAAGCATCAAAAATGACTTTTTAATAGAGGATTATTTAGAATAAATAATCTTAACTAAGTTGTAGTATATGTCACAAGGTTTCCGTACATATAAAGAACGCTGAAATCCGAGTTATAACGAAGAAGTTATGACATGTCGAAGTTTCGCGACAAAACCGGCACGACACCGGGAATCGTAAAAAGTGAGTTTATGATAGAGTACTTTTTAGCCTTAGGTTTCTAAATGAAAGTTGTAGATTACGTCTCCACCTTCGCGTGGATATAAAGAACGTCGAAAACAGAGCTCGTATGCAAAAGTTATGGCCTTCCGAAGATGCAGTTGTTGAGAGCATGACACGTGGCAGAAACCCTAGCCGCCTTAAGTCACGACGTGAACATGAAGTTCACGACGTGAAAGGTGATGATAATTAGGTGATGATAGATAGGTGATGATAAATAGGTGATGTGAGATGAGAGGAGATACCATAACCTTGACCGGCGATGTATTCATCTACCAGAGTATAGATGGCGGCTACTGACTATTCTAGACAGTCATGTGGAGACATCAGCAGGCTCATAACCTATAGGTGATGAATTACGAGTTCAGGCGATGTTGTAACTACGTATTCATGCGATGATACTCTAACCCCTTACTATGAATTACGAGTTCAGGCGATGTTGTAACTACGTATTCATGCGATGATACTCTAACCCCTTACTGAATTACGAGTTCAGGCGATGTTGTAACTACGTATTCATGCGATGATACTCTAACCCCTTACTATGAATTACGAGTTCAAGCGATGTTTTAACTACGTATTCATGTGATGATACCCTAACCCTTACTGGACACGTATTGAGGGAATAATCCCCGAATCAGTACTGTCTATACGATGTAGGCGATGATCCTTAGGAAAAGTCCTTAGGAACAAACATATAAGGAAATGCGATGTAAGGAGATGAGAGGTAAATACGATGTAGGAGATGACCCTTAGGATAAATCCTTAGGGAAGGTAATTAAGAATAAAGATGATAATGGGGATGGGTAATTAGGTTAATTGTTTGATGATTAAACATAATAATTATATTATTGTGGGTTGAAAACCCTA